CTTACAAGACCGGACGCCGGTGGTGTGTGTGTGTGGGTGCGTGTGCATGAGCTCAGAGAAAAACAGGGAAAGGGGGTGGGGGAGGAGAAGAGAGAGAGGGAGAGGGATTGAGAGAGAGAGCGCAAGTAGAAATTTTGAGTCTGGTGAGGATGACCTTTACATTTTTCAGCGAGAGAAACTCTTACTACAGAGGGCTTGAAGGTTGCTGGGAAGAACAACGTCAGCAGTGACAAGACAGTCTCAAGGGACTGTCTTGGTCTCAGCTGTGACACCAACTCCCTTTGTTGGGTGGCGTCTTCTGAAACAACCACAGCTGGGTCGCACTGGGTTGCACTGTGTAGTCTTTAAGCCTCAAGGGGGCGCTCTAAACTTCAGCTCCAAGAAGGAGGCAAGGGCCATCTAGCCAGGTCTTGCCTTTTGGGTATAAACAAACACAGGAGATTTTTGGAGAGAACACGGAAGGTAGGTGGGTGGGCTGTGCTTAGGAGAGATGAGTGAGGCTGGGCACGTGGAGCTCCAGAGGTGCATTTGGGGCCATTGCTAGAGAAATGTTTTTCTCTCTCAGCTTCTACAATTGAATAGAATGATTAGTGTGTGTGTATCCATATTTCCGCTTACAGAAGTTAAACATGCATGTTGTAAAATTTTTTAATATGAGGGAAGATATGGCTTTGAAAGTGAAATGCATTCGTACCCCCAACCCGGCCCCCCAAAGCGTTGAGTTTCATATGTTTGCTATGACTGTATCCACTAACTAGCTAGCAAATAACTATACATATACAGGAACACATGTGTAGTTATGTCTACGTAAATAGGAATGCCGACAATTAAGTTCACAATGATAACCTGTAAAGCTGCCTGAAAAGCTTGTGTTTCATGGCCCACTGCGTTCCTTTCCCACGAGCAAGTAGCACAGAAAGGCAAATTATCAGAAATTTATGAGCTGAGCATAGAAAGAAAACAAGGGAAGTGAGTTAATCTTCTGAAATGTCTTTCAGCTAAAAGACACGTCCCCTCGCCATCAATGCATCGGGGAGCTAGTATCTCACAGACCACATTTGGAAAATGGTGATCTCTGCTTATGTCATTTTGAAGTCTCCTTAAGGCAGAAATTATTCCTGGGCTATATTGTTCCTTTTAGAATTTCCTGCATTGGGGTAAAAATTAACAACTTTCTTTAACCTACCTATGGGTTCTTTGAAAAGATATTTAATGACCTATTTAAGATGATTAAAACCATCCTATTAATTTTTTGCTCATGTTTCAAAGGAGACTGGGAAAAGTAACAGTTATTTAAGATAAAATAAACCAGCAGACCAAAAACTATTAATGCTAATAAATCTAAAAGTAAAGTCTGCCATTAGGAATGGCTTAAATATATGAAGTATTTCTTTTAAAATAATCACTATTCCTATATCCTTCACATAGGTCTAGAAGTGCAAGTTATGATTACTTTTAGGCATATAACACACAAACGGGTAACAAATGGTGCCTTTGGCCCCAAGCCATTCTTCGTCTCATCCACTAGAGGGTACCTGAGGGTTGTTCAACAAAAGCACTCAGGAAACCAGATTAAAAATGTGAACCAGAAACCACAGACCAAAAGTGCTGTATATATATTTTAATACTTCTGGCACATGACTAACCAAATTCAGTGTGCTAAAAGATAGCCACATATTTTTTCCTTTATAGAATTTTGACACTTCTGGTTTGTACACCAGTATTCAGTTTTGAAAACATTTTGAATCTTGCCTAACGAGGATAGTATTGGGTATTTTACAATATAATAAACACATCTGCTTTTCTAATGAAACTTGTGGTATTGAAGATTACTAGAAAAGCCTGGCAATTTTATTATCATAATCCCAGAATTATTTCTCTATTTTGTGTAATTAGTCTGTTACTTAATTGGATTCCCTCTGAATGGTCCCATGAAAGATGCAGGGTTATTTTTCCTTTATTACGTTCATCTTCTACTCCTCACTCCCTCCCACGCCATGTTCTAGTAAGAGCAAGTTACTGTATTGGACAGTAAAACTGAAAATTAGAAGTAGTCCAAATGACCAGTAGCAGGGAATAGGAAAGCCAACAGTGGAGTGTTATGGCCATGCATGTTTATATTAATCTATTAATTATAGTATATATAAATTATAACATTAATGCAATAGTATCAGGATCGCATTTGCAAAATATGCTGACCATTCACTAAGGGTCAGTCCCTGTGTTATGTGAATGATGAACAGGAAATAAATTCCAGCTCTTGAGGGGTATATAATTGTGTGTGTGTGTGTGTGTGTGTGCGCGTGCATGTGTGTGCGTGTGTGTGAGAAGAGATCCATGATTGAATACGTAGAGGGTTGGGATTGTGCGCATGAACTTTGGAATCAGAAATTCAGGTTCTCCCACTCATTTGTTACATGACCTTGAGCAAATGACTTTACCTGTCTCCGAGCCTTGATTTTCTTATCTGTTAAATGGGGATAATCATCTACCTTAATTTTATTGTGAAAATTAAGTGGAAGCATGACCATAAAATATCTGACACCTAGTATGGATCATGGAGTTTAGATCATGGAGTTCAGTTGTGGCTTTCTGTGTGAAGCAGGGAATCATTGTGTGATACCACGTGATAGACTGTTTCATGATGGCCACCCCCAGAATGAGATGGAAGCATTGTTCCAGGGCCAGACAATTGGTCTGGTCAGACAAGCTTCAGTCACATCCTGACAGTCCTATTTTCTGGATATCCCAGTGGTTTGGGCTGCCTGATACGAAGAAAGTCACTGAGAAGGGATCTTGCCTCCTTTGGAATAGCGTGCGTTTCTGTTTTTACTTTAACTGCTTCAAGGTCCAGTGGTCAAAGTGGGCCTCTTCGGGTGAAGACTTCTATAGTCCTGAGAGCCAGTGTAGATGGCTGCTCCCACATGAGCTAGCAGACGGAGCTCTTTCACTGAGAAATGGGCTTGGGGCCAGGCTAGGATGGCAGAAGTGTTTCTCAAGCAACATTCTGAATGATTCTGAAATCCAAGGAATCTGAAGGACCGGGAGTCAAATGGAGTCAAAAGAGTCAACTGGGCTGAGGTCAGAAAAACAGACAATGAACTCCAAATGGGTTACCAAGCCAAGATGGGCAGAGCTGTGCTGAAATCCAGGGTATAGAGCAGGGATTGGAAACTGGCGGGGGAGAGAGGAGGATGGGTGCAGAGAACAGTGAGAACCTACTATATACCAGCTACCATTCCCGATACTAGAGCTTATATTCCAATAAGCTAATTTCCCGTGCTGGTAAGTACTATGAAGACAGATGGCCTAGGATAGTGTAATAAGAGTTTCTGGGAAGGCTGTTTTAGCTAAGGTGGGGTTCTAGGAAGAAGGAACACCAAGGGCAAATGCCCTGAGGCAGGAATGATAGAAGGAGGCCATTGTAGCTGGAGTGTCATGAATGAAGTGACAGGTGGAAAGAAATGAGTTTAAAGAGGTAGTCAGGGGCAACTTTTGTAAGGATCTTGTAAGCCATGATAAAGGGTTTGGATTTTAACCATGCAGTGGGTAGCTGTTGGAAGTTTTAAATAGGGCAGGGCAGTTGGCAGGATCTGATTTACATTTTAGAGAGACCCTTCCGGCTGCTGTGTGAAGGTTAAATTATAGCAAGACAAGAGTCTTATACAGGAAAAGTCTTGGAAGAAGGAAGAAGTAGGGACTGCTGTGTCAAATCGGACAGAAATTCCCATGAGCTGGGTCAGTGGAAAATCTGTGTGGCACAGATCCATTTCCTCTCCAACCCTGAGGTTGTCTTTGTACTCAAACCAGGCCAGTAGGTGGGCCTCACCTCTTGACTTCTTTTCCAGGAGCATCTTGGTCCTGGGGGTTTATTTATTCAGATTTCTAAATATGTACAAGTCAATCTAAAATTCTGAGGGACGTAGCTTGAGGCTGAGATCGTGCTTCTGCTATACATCTCACTCTGTTTCAGTACAAATGAGGAGAAACGACTGAGAGTCTTTTAAAACGTGGAGGATGGGGTAGAGAAGGAGCTTGATTTAAGTAACATTTCAATCAGATAAATTGAGTTAGTTATTTAAAGATGTAACTTGAAAGTATATTTAAAAACATGAATTCGAATAGCTACATACTTATTGCACGTGTACCATTGGCTAGAGGCTTTGTAAGTGAAACAAAACACAACAGCAGTTATTGTTGTAAGAGCTTTGTGTTCCTGCTGTGCAAAGGGATTCCGGTTCTGAGACTGAACCAGGTCTTTGGATGCAATACGGTTACAAAAGTACTTCTTTACTCACAACCCTGAAAGCTAAGCATTAAGGTTCCTACCTTTTGCAGATGAAGAGACCAACGTTTAGAAAGGTTGGTTACGCGGTCCAACTGAGTAATAAAGCGAGAATGTGACTCTGGGGCTATCCAGCTCCCAAACTCCAAAATTCATGCTGGAGCCACTCCACATGAGTTGTACAAGTAGGGTGCAGTGATTACGGGTGTGAACCATGGTGTCAAGGGGACTTGGATTTCAATTCTGCTCCATCATTTACTAGCTGTATCTTCTTGGCTGGTTACTTAATATCTAAGAGCCTGTGTTTCCTCATCTGTAAAACGGGGTAACAATAGCCCCTCCTTCAAAGGTTGCTCTGAAAATGATGTGAGATGTATAGCACAGACCTGGCAAATGGAAGGGGACCCAATAAATGTTAGTGCATATATACATATATACATATATGCACTATCCTATGAGGGGTACTTTGACATCTGTCTGAACCAGTTTCACTTCCAGCATCAGAAACATATATCCTGCCTTGGAAATGTCTCGCATAATAGATTGTGTCTGCTCAACTTGCTGTGCACAGTGCTTCGAACACCAGGCATCTAGGAAGTACTCTGGGTGATGATATTACCCAACTGCATGAGTGGGTTTGATAGCTTTTCCAAAGGGCTGGTATTTCAGTTGTGCAACTGTAACTGCTTCATGGCAGTAGAAAAGATTTATTTTGGGGGACCCCAATCAACCCTTAGCCCCATTCCTCAAACTCCAGCTATATCACAAGATGTCAAAGCCGTGCGGTATTAATGTTTGGTCAAAGGTGCTAGTGGCATTTTGCAGATGTAATGAAGAACGCACGTTGTCCAAGATCGCTTCATGATGCCTTCTGCCCTGAGCCTTGTTTGCCCTTTAAGGCCCAGCTGGCGGGGAAATTCAGCTGCTAGCTCACCTGGAAGTCAACCCAAAGACAAAAGAACTGGTTTATTCAACTTTGCAGGAGCCTGGGACCTCAGGCTGGGCTAAAAGATGCCACCCAGTGAGGGAAAGGATCTAGTAATCATCTCTGTCCAGAGCCAAGTCTCACAGAGGAAAAGATCTCCCATAATTAAAAAAAAAAAAAAAAACCAGAGTGATTTTCCAATGTGGATGGTGGCCTGATTGAGAAGAAGGCAACAGGAGTGGGAATGGGGAACAGAGAAAAAGGAGGGGTTTTCTATCAGAGGGCTACTGTTGTCCTTGAGGTAAGCAGTTAAATCACATAAAACTGGTTTGCAGGACCAGATTTCTTACCTGAAGGCGAAGAATTGTGCACTTGCTTCAAACCGGTCTGTTCTTACCAGCTCGTTTTCACTTGTGCTAGAGAAACTGAGTCAGCCTGACATATTTTCCATAGAGCAAGAGCCATATCTTCAGGGAAGTTTCTGTGTCTGGCGGCTCAAAGTGGGCCAGTTTTCCTCTGAATCTTGGTGACACGGGGACCTGGACGGCCCTGGTTCAAAATAGTGGTCCAGCGTGTACTTGCTTGGTACCTTGGGCAAATTACCTGCCCTCAATTTCCTCATCTGTAAAATGGAATTAATGAAAGAAACGACTTTGCAAATGCACCTGTGATGGACAAAAAAAAGAGAGTATTTTAACCCCCAATTGATGATAGACACTTCTGCCTTTTAAGGAAGGTAGGCATACTTCATACCAGTGAGGAAATAGAATTTTCCTTTGGGCCTCTTCCCAGAGAGGGAAAAGAGAGAGAGAAGAGAGACAGAGACAGAGAGAGAGAAAGAGTACTAGCATGCAGCTGGGTAGAAAGCTTGTTTAAAGGAGCATGTTAACTGCGGTAGGATTGGAGCCGAACACGGCTCTAGTGGCTGGAGAGGGCTGAATGGCCTCACCCAGTAGTTGTCAGGGCTTCTAGTGGCCAGTGAAAGAGAAAGAAGAGAGAGGTGGCCCAAGCAATGCTGCAGAAGGCAGATCTTAAAAGTCTGGAGAGCCCAGCTGCTATTCAGTTTACATGTTTATATATATCAAAGGACTCAGAATAATTCTTGGCACCAGTGAGCATTTAATAAATGGCAGCTAGTAGCCGTGTGGCACAGTGACAGCACACAGCATCATTGCCTTCAAAGAGTCCCTCTCCCCGGAGGAAAAGCACCATCTCTCTTTTTCATGGCGTGTGTGTGTGTGTGTGTGTGTGTGTGTGTGTGTGTGTGTCTTGGGGGAGCAGGATAGACAGCAAAGAGGAAAGTAATGGGTTCAAATTCTGGTTCCACAGGGTTTGTTTCTTTCTTTAATTTTCCATTTTTAAATTGGGACAAAAAATAGCACCTCATCTCATACGATTCATGTGAAGTTTAAACAAGATAATCTAGATAATTCATATGCCAGGCACTTAGCCTTCAGAAAATGTTAGCTCTTGCTAGGATTCTATAATAATAGTCTTACAAAGATGGTGTACTATCCTAGAACATGTGCTTTGTTGTTTTTCTTTTAAAATTTATAAGTGGGGTGCCTGGGTGGCTCAGTCAGTTAAGCATCCGACTCTTGATTTCTGCTCAGGTTATGATCTCATGGTTTGTGGATTCAAGCCCCACTGTCAGCAACAGAGCCTGCTTGGGATTCTCTCTCTTCCTCTCCCTCTCTCTGCCCTTCCCTCACATGCTCTCTCTCTCTCTCTCTCTCAAAAATAAACTTAAAAAAATAAAATACACATGCATATTCAATACAAAAAAAAACTTGAAAAACATGTAAAGAACACAGAAAAACAATGGGCACTCCAGCATAAAGATCACCGGGGTTAACATTTTGGTTTATGTCTTTTCAGTTTTTTTCCTCTCAAGTGTATGGACATCTTTGTTCTGTCTTTTCAAAATGGGATACTGTTCTTTAGTCTGCTTTTTTTTTAAACCTAGCAATAGACTGTGAACTTTTCCCCGTGGATGAGTTGCTTCTTAAAATAGATGTTCCAGTGGAAGCAGCCATACCCAGGGCCAGCAGACTCATTACTATTCTTTTTCTTTTCTTTTCTTTTCTTTTTTACAGACTGGGGGGCTGGGGGTAAGTCTTATGGCCATCCAAATCTGGGAAACACTGCACACACATTTCCTTATTGGAAAATTAACAGTGCCTATTAGCATGTTAAAGGCTCTAGGAAACCCTTCCATGAGAGAACCTGCCTGACTTGGATTAGATCAGTGTTTCCAAAACTGATTTAGCACAGTGGAGGCTCTATTCTCATAACTCCCGCTGATATCTCGGGAATCATTTGGGGGAACACTCCTGCAGGTGAAGATTCCTTAAAAGTAGAGAGCAGATCTTGTTTGTCTTGTCTCCACACGGCCTTACAGATGGATTTTTTTTTTTTTTTTAAGAAATTATGGAAAATGGGATTGGCCTGATGAATCCACTTTCTAACCAACACGCGTGTGAACCAGGGGCCAGGGTTAGAGACTGGGGCTGTGCTCTGAAGTGTCTCTCCGTGTAAAGCTAATTGGCCCCTTTGGGGATGAACCTGTGAACTTGGCTTCGTTAGCACCAGCACGGAACAGCGGAGTTAGTTTATCTGGCGCCATGAAATGGTATTCTTCCCCAGATTCTCATGCTGTCCTCCAGGTGGCGATGTGGGTTTGTCATCCTGAGAGCCTGACGCCTGGGCCAAGCAAAGCTTAAAATTGAGGGGGGTGCAGGTGTGGATGAGGAAGGAAGCTGGGAGGGAGTGATTATGGAAAACCAGAAGATACACTGTCACGCGTGCGGCTGGCATGACGCTGAGGCACAGCCTCATACTCTGGGAATAGGACTCAGGTTTTAAAGAATACTGATGAACCAGTGAGCCAATAAATATCACTAGTGTTTACTGAGCACCAACTGGGAGGGGTAATATGCCAGATAATTTCCCTCTTTTGATTTCTTCTGATCGTCCTCCCAACACACCTATGGGGTAGGTCCTTCAGCTGGCCATAGAAGTCCTGGAAGTCCAACCCGGGTCCTGTATCTGAGGGCTCCGCTAGACCAAAACAACAAGATGTTGACCAAAGATGAATAAATGTGAAATGTTTGTCTATCTATCCTTCTATCCAGCTACCTATCTATTTATCGACCTGTCTTTCATTTCATTTGTACAGGGTGGGCCTAATAGCACTGTGTGGTTGGAAAGAATATTCTGATAAGTCCTTCTGAGAGGGTTCTGGGAGAGAGGATTTTTCTGGTTTCGTTACATTTCCTATGATCTTTATTCTCTCTTGCAGACTGCTCCTCCATCTGGTGGCTCAGCTGGCCACCCCTTAATTCCACTGTGCCCACGGGGGCTGTGCAGAGGGCCACGAGAAATGTCCAAAGGGCACCTAGCCCTGACGTGGAGGGCAACGGAAGACCAAAGGATGTGTAGGAGTTAGCTATGCAACTGTCACAGATGGCTATTCCAGCCAGAACGACACATGCTAAGGCTTGAGGTCAGCAAGAGCATGGTACATTAGGGGACTGAAAATAGTTCAGTGTGGCTGGCCCATGGGGTAAGGGTGTGTGATGCCAGGTGTGGGTAAGGGGGGAGAGTGAGGAAAGGCTGAAGAGGTACATGGAGTCAAGATAGTGAAGGGCCTTGTAAGTCGGGTTGAGGTGCTTGAACTTGATCCTGAGCGCCACCAGGATTCCCTGAAGGTTTTAAGGCATGTGATGAAATGGACAGGTTTGCATTTTAGAAAGAGCACCCCAGCAATGGAGAAGGGATGAGGAGGGAGGGGTGTGTGCGTGTGTCTGCACACACTCCAGCACCCATTTCTGGGGCAGGGGGACCACAGGACAAAGGTTGGGAGGGTGTTGCAATACCTCCTGCAAGAGGTGAGGGGGCACTGGCCCAAGGAAGCCGCAGCACTGTCCGTGGAGACGGCTGTCAGCAAATTTGAGAAGAATTAACAGCCTCCGACTACTGACTGGGAGCTGAGGGTGACATTTTGAGGTTCTCTGGTTATTAGTGACAGCATATACTAATATTTTCTATAAATATTAGTATAAATAGAAATATTTTTGTCAAAACCAGGTGGCAAAATGCTCCATACGGGGTGCCTGACCCATCTGTCTTCTCCTTCTAGCAGTGCCCCCCCAATTTCTTTCTCTCCCTTTTTTTTTTTATCTTTTAAAAATCTCTCCTCATATAATGTGCAATAAAGATCATGGGTGTCTGAAAAACAAATAAACCAGTGAAGAAATGGGCAGAAGACATGAAAAGACATTTTTCCAAAAAGACATCCAGATGGCCAACCGACACATGAAAAGATGCTCAACATCGCTCATCATCAGGGAAATACAAATCAAAACCACATTGAGATATGACCTCACATCAGTCAGAGTGGCTAAAATTAACAACTCAGGAAACAACAGATGTTGGTGAGGATGGAGAGAAAGGGGAACCCTCTTGCACTGTTGGTGGAAATGCAAACTGCTGCAGCCACTCTGGAAAACAGCGTGGAGGTTCCTCAAAAAATTAAAAATAGAATTACCCTACAACCCAGCAATTGTACTACTAGGAATTTATCCCAAGGATACAGGAGAGCTGATTCAAAGGGGTACATGCACCCCAATGTTTATAGCAGTGCTATCAATAATGGCCAAATTATGGAAAGAGCCCAAATGTCCAACAACTGATGAATGGATAAAGATCACTACTCAGTGATGAAAAAGAGTGAAATCTTGCCATGTGCAACAACGTGGATGGAACTGGAGGGTATTATGCTAAGTGAACTAGAGAAACCTAACATATGAGCATATGGGAAGGGAAGGAAAAATGAGACACAAACAGAGAGGGAGGCAAACCATAAGAGACTCAAACTGAGTCTCAGAACAAACAGAGGGTTGATGGGGGTGGGGGTTGGGGGGGTGGGAAAAATGGGTGATGGGCATTGAGGAGGGCGCATGTTGGGGTGAGCACTGGGTGTTGTACGTAAGTGATGAATCATGGGGAGCTACTCCTGAAGCCAAGACTACACTGTATGTTAGCTAACTTGACAATAATAAATAAGTACTGCCATGGAAAAACAAAAAACAAACAAAAAAAGAGCATGGGTGTCAGAGTCAGGCTGATGTGAGTCACAGCGCTAATGATTATTAAGGTATTTATTTGAACTTCATTGAGCCTCATTTATCCAATTATAAATGGGGATAACTGTACCTACTTCATAGGACTGGGATTATGATTTAGTGCAGGTTTTCCTTTTCGGACCCAAACCCAAATCTCTCTCGGATGGGTGGTAAATGGCCCCACCCTACGACCCATTCACCCAAACCAAAACCCGTGCTTCCTCCTTTCCTTTACTCCCCACCCAGGTGATTCACTGTCACCTCTTGCCTTGACGTCTCTACTAGCTTTTTAACTGGTCACCTGGTTCCACATCACTTCTTGAAGGATCCTTCCTGTTTTCTCCATCAAGCAGCCAGCCAGGTTGATCTTTTTGGTCGATGTTGTTTGTTTGTTATAGCAACTTTATTGAGATATAAGTCACATACCATAAAATTCACCCATCTAAAGTGTACAATTCAGTGGGTTTCAGTATATTCAAAACTTTGTGCAACCATCACCGCCATCCAGGTTGAGAGCATTTTAATCATCCTGAAAAGAA